CAAGATCAATCATACATGTTCAAAGTCATTGGGTGCATTGGCGTGATGTCGTGGAGATGGGGTTGTCGCGACAGCTCGGAACGTACAACGATGTGCTGCTAACTGTGTAGACTATCTTCCGTAACGCTGCTACAAGCACTACCCACGCATCGCGCGATCGCTATACCATTCGTCAACGACACCCTTGGTCGCATGACTACAGACGATGACAAATAATAAAAAACCGCACAAGGCCTCTCGATACCTGACTAGTCAGGGTCTACAGGATCGAGCTCTCGAACACCACCTAGCCTGACATGTCAAGAGCACGCGACACGTCACGACAACATAAGAAGAAAACTTGAGTTTTATCGTATTGCACTACACCCTGGGTATCTACCATCATTCCATCATACCTTCATGAGGCCAATTGACATGTATCGAGTTGCCGCTCGAACACATGATGCTAACTATGACCTCTGTATCCTACATGTAATCGCTACCCTCTTGCCGTGAACTTATGTACCCATGTCCTCCTTCTGCTGTCCGGTTGTCAACCTATCGTTTCCATGGTGGTGGATAGAACGACGAGTAGGGACTCCGACCATCCCATCCTACTGGCGGCTGGCTCCATGGATCATCGCCCTGATCGGGACGCTGTCCTGGGCTATTGACCTGACCTCCTGGGTGGGTGTCTGGCAGTCCATGCAGAACGACCGACTCTCCCGGTTGTGCATCTTGTAGAGCGTCGTACTGACCGGAGTTATCTCGTCTTGGTTGCGTGGCTGGCAGATCTTCGTCTTGATTAACGTGAACTCCTGCTCCCGTGGCTGGCGGCTCATTCTGACTAGAAGGCTCTCCCGGTTGCATGGCTGGTGAATCACCCTGACTAAGCCGCTCTCCTGGTTGAATGTCTTTCAGATCTCCATCTTCTTCCTCTTCTTCCTCACTGTCCTTGCACTCTCCCGTCATCCTCCAGTTCGGAACAGAAACGTCAGATCCAAACGATTCATCAACACGTTGTGGCTGGGCTGACGGCGGCGGCGATTGCTCAGATCCCATCACACCCTTTGCCGGTGGTGGAGGATCTGAGCGCGCAGGATCAACCCTGAAACTCACGTTGGCGAGATCCGAAATGGAAATATCGTTGCGACGATGAGCTCCAGACTCGGCACGGAGGGTAGCCAGGAAAGCTGGTCGAGCGTAAGGAGGACTGCTCTGCTTGGGCGCCGATTGGAACATAGGAAAGGATTGAGATACTGCCTGTGCATTGCTCATACCTCGCATTGGCGCCATCGCATTCAAGCCGGCTGCAAACGCGCTGTTGTCTTTGAGCTTGGGTGTCGGCGAGTCCTTCTGTTTCGCCTTGTCACTGGCAACCGGCGTCGCTCCACCACCATCTTCATCACCTGACTCGTCTCCTTCAGCATCCAGTCCATCACCCTGCTGACGGAAGGTGTGGTGGAAATTGAGACCGAAGATACCCGAATCTCGAGGCGCATCGTCTTCCTCCATGTGCTTCAGCCACTCCTCTGCTTGCTTGTAGTCATCGTCCAGGTCGGCTTCGTCGTTGGATACGACAGTGAATGTTCCCTGTTCAATTGCTGAGATAGCAGGCGGGCTGGAAAGGACGTTGGTGTTTACTCCGTTGTTTCGTGTGAAGAACGACGTGTCTGGCACGTGTGAGATTTGAGGGAGCGGTTCACCAGATGAGAACTGGCGTTCTAGGGTTGCAATCGTTTTGTCTAGATCACGGTCCGTCAACGAGCTAGTAGGCCGGGGCTCTTCCGCTGGTGGTGTACTGTGCTGACTTGAGTCGTGGACACTGGGAAGAAGATGTGGACGCTTCGCGGCCTGCATGGCTGTGCCCGACACTTCGTTGTCTGCATCGCGTTTACCTAGAGGTCGAGCCCTAGCACGAGCACGCTTGCGAGTCTCCAGCGTCTGAGAGAGGCGAGCACGATCAACATGCGGCGACAAAACCTGAAGCGACTTCACCGATTGCGATGCCGACTTTTTCAACTGACCCTTCGCAGGCAGAATAGGCCGCTTGTCCACTTCCATTGCCTCGTCGATTTCCCTTCCAGTCTTGAAGTTTGACCAGTGACCAGGGCGCTCATAGATTTCACTACCGTGTGGCATCGTGGGCAACATCTTCATACCGCCAAAATAAGTAGATAGAAACGCCCCAGCACTCTCGTAGTCGTGGGCAATCGCGGGTGCGTGGAAGTTGAACTGGGCGCCCTTGCGAGTGACAGATGCCCAGGGAAGAAGACCAGTGTGAGCAAGGACGACGCGCTGTATGACCCGGCTGAAGTCTGCTGGATCATACGGAGGGAAGTCTTGCGTCTGACGATAGTGCTCGGCTATCAGTCCTAGTTGCTTTGCAAAGTCCGACAACAAGGACAGGGTAATGTAATGACCCTCTAGCTTGGGCTCTCCGCGTACCTCTACCCAGTCATGACAATCTGTGTCGCCCTCATTGATACAGGCGACAAGGCGGCCAGGAGTTGCCAGGCGATGTAGTTGGGTCAGATTGAACATTCGTGAGGGCAGGTGATACGAGACCTTGTGCACCTCTTCGATGTTTGTAGTAGGCTGGGTCTTGATCTCACTGGTCAAACGCGTGAATGTGGCGTGTAGGACCTCCGGCATGGTACCTAGACCCACAAGAGCACCGCGAAGCTTCTTGATATCTGCAAACACAATTACTCCGTGCTGGGGTGCGACGAGGCGCTCATACTCCTCAACAATCGCGTGACGCCACTCTGGGTAGGCTTCGCAACAGCTCGCTAGCCAGTGCAGGAAGCAACGCTCTTCGAAGCCACCCTCGACCTGTGTCAATGGCACTGTTCGCTTGACTGCGAAGGTCTGCCAGGGTTCTTCCACCTCGCCGGCAAGTTGTTGGATCTCGGTGCACACATCCCGCGGCGGCAGGTCCCATTGATTGTGGTAAAGTTTCGTAGCCAGGCCGTCTAGGTATGGATGCCCCAGAGTCAATATCATATGCTGCTCTTCGCCGATCTTTGGAAATGGATGCAGGAGTGACCACTCATGCTCCATCTTTTTGATCATATCAGAGCGGCATAGCCCTACCTCACGGCGGGTCGCATTGTGGATCTGAGCGTTTCGAGCAGAATGCCAGTCGTCTCGCTTCTTTTGCACCAAGTTGAGCATCTTCTTGCCCTTCTCAGACTCTCGCGATTTGCCTTTCGGTCCGAAGAAGTCGGCAACGACGCGCTCCATGAGAGCGGATTCTTGGCGAGCAACCTCGGTCTTCTTCGCCATGAAGGCTTCGCCGAAGGCATCTTTCGGTGGTGCCTTCCGCAGTTGCCAGATATCGCAGCAGTTCTCGACAATCTCCATCGCGGCGCGACCGTCCTCGATCATATTCTCCAGAGGTTCAGGCATGCCAGCAGGAAACGACGTTGCCCGTGTATAGTCGACTAAGAGCACAGCTTCGGGCTTGTAGTCCCCTAGGCGAAGTAAGACACCCTCTTTGGTGACTTTTCCGTGAACGATCTTGTGGAAATGTAAGAAGGCGAGGGCTGAGAACAGACGTCGCAAGAGCTTTGAAGCGATTGTGAAGCGCACGCGCGGATGTTGCTTCTTGATATCCTCGTCGAGAGCGGCGTATGTCTTGAAGCCCTCATGCGTCTCGGTAATAATAGCGGGGATGGCGTTGATGTCGACCGACTGCAAGTAACGAACGACAGATACATCGACTTTAGCCTTGCCGAACTTGAGAAACTCAGCATCCCGAAGTTCGCGGCGGTTTCCCGCACGGCGGAAGAATTTCGCTGTCTCGATCTTGCCTGTAAAGCGTTCGAGAACCCGGCAGGTGTTCGCGGAGACTTGTTCAGAGAGCGGCAGATAGCGAGTTCGCGCCCAAGCTTCGGGGCGATGAGTGACGTCTTGTAGGTGGGGATGCAGCTCTGACGGCAAGAATGCTGTTTCCATCGCGTAGAGTTCTCGTACTGCCTTTAACATGAAGATGTCGACTCGCAAGCCGTTGACGAAGACGTGGTTGACTAAGTTCTGCCGCAGATAGATCGCTTGTGGGAACTGGTTTTGTGCATGCGGATCGCTGAATTGAATGGGCGCACCGTTCACCTCCGTGATAGTCTCAGAAGCGGACTGCAATCGCCAGCTGCCGTTCTTCCAAACCGGTACGATTCCGAACAGGAGCAGGTCGGCCCCATCGTCAGGGAGGTACACATCGCAAGCCGGAGGCTGCGGGCTCTCGATGTTGGACAGGCCTATGGTGTAGCAGGGTTGACCTTGGACGAGATGAAGAAAGACATGGCAGCCGTCTAAGGACCACTCGCCGCCGGCTCGTGGAGACCTCAAACGCGACTTCCTATAGGCTGTGTTGTGGTTTGCGTGGAAAGCTTTGGGGTCGTGAACTGTGATGATTCCGACGACGCTATCTGGAGAGAGCCCGTCCGGGATAGGAGGATGGCGCGCGTCAATAGGCTCGTCTTCTTGCATATCTGACATGTTCGCAATTGGTGTATATGGCCAGAAAGGGCGCCAGGTGTGTGTGGCGGGGGACGGTTGGAGCACGGCTTATAAGGCAAAGTGGTTGTCGTGTACGGTGTAGTGAAGCGCCAGAACTGAGTGCTGTAGCTCGTCGAGAGTCCGTTCAGTATTGCCCTTGTGTGCGGGGTCAGTACGAACGGCTACGCCCTCGGGGGAGTCTTCTGGTCACCAGATAAAGCCTGCGTCAGGTTTGTTCGACTATACCACTCTGTGCATGCACCAGCGACAGTGACTCACGTCGAGAGTCCGCGGGATATTGCCTAAGTGAGCGGGGTCGGCACGACAACTCAACCCTCGAGTGAGCCTGCTGATCAACAGGCAGGCGTAGTTCGGACTTGTTATCCTATACCACACTATAAGTGCACCAGCGACAGTGACCATTACCGACAGCGGATCGATCATGAGGTCTATCCCCTCAATGGCCGCGAACGGCCCTGAGCCATGACCAAGTATCTGAGAGCCCAGAACAACGACGTAATTCACCTCTGAAACTTAGTCCCAGCTGCAGTGAAATGATCAAACCAGTCTCTCCTTTCCGGGAAGCCGTACAGGCCTAGCAGACTGGGTTTGCCTGGCTGGGCTTTGTTGTTGATTGTGATGATGTATCTAGTGATCAGTCAGCTCAGCAACGTCATGGGTAGACACCAGACTTACACGACTGAGCCCCTTGCTATCTGGTCGAGCATGGTAGCCTTCTGAAACTGGTATGCGTCTGTGGGAAGGGACAGATCCATGTCGGCGACCGCGATAGGTGGGTCCGTTATCAGAACCTCATCGCCTTTGCTCTTCTTAGCTTTGCCCCATATGAAGTAATTATCGAGCAACATGGCGTGTACTGGAACCCAAGGTCCCTGGCTCTTGAACTTCATTGCCATACCGCCTTGATGAATAACGCGACGGGCCGGCTCATGCAGGCGTAGTTGCGCAAACGTTAGTGCATCTGTGCGGATACGCCTCTGGAGATTCTGTACATCTTCACGAGCCTGAGCTTCATCTAGTAAGGTTGAAATGGATGTTTTCAGCCAAGTGACGGCCTGTAGAGCACGTCGTAAACGCATAGCCTCCTGGTTTGCTATCGGGTCATTGAGGGAGTCCGCGATGCTGACAAGCCTCTGCAGATTGTCGATATAACTCTGCATCTGTACCTGAGGAAGCTCCAAATAATCTTGCCAGCTCTTGCCAAAATAAGCGATACTCAGACCAAGTGTGTTGACGAAAGGTGTGAATTTCGGGTCCAAGTTCTGTGTCGTTCTTAGTGAGGAGGCCGCATGCGGCATCTTGCGACAGTATTCTCGATATAGTTGTTGACTCTTGTCTACCCAAATATCGATCATGTATGGATTGCAGAGGGCGTTAGTACTGCCAGCGAGATCACGGTCCATCGCCTGGAGCAGATACTGCTGATGAAGTGTCGCAAGTTGCTCGCCGATAAGGATAGCATCCATATGCTTCTCAAGGACTGGCCATTGCTTTATGATGTTATCGTAGAACATTCGCTTCAGTCTCATTATGCGATCAATAAACTTCCTCTCGGCTTCGGCCAGCTCCATCCAGATACTGTGCATTTCGACATTGTACAAGGGTAACGATGCCCCAGCTGCTGCAACTTCGTCCATACCACGCGCGGTGTTACCTTGAGCGTTGTAAGATGGCTTATGCATGAAGGGCAGGGGCTTTCGCGAAGGTATGCCGGTCGAATTGGGGCTTAACGGTGGAGTTTCGTACACGGTGTAAGACGATCCCGTGGACGCTTTTGATAAAATCGATGGTGCGATGGAGGAAAAAATGCTATCATCAGAAGATACTGAGCGCATCCGGGGCGTTGCGACATGCTGCTCACTTGGGCGGCGAGGAGGCAACGGAGGCGCAGCTTCTGGAACTCCCGTTCCGCTGTCTCCACTAAATGATCGCAGCGGCGCCGGAGTCAATGAGCCATAAGGATTATTTGGTAGCGAAGAAGGACTCTTAGACCCTGTGTGGTTGGGAGTCAAGCAAAGTGTCGTGGACGAGGTTTGCGGCATAAAGGAGAGTATGTCGCGCTCAAGGGTATCGAACAAATCTGCGTGTTCATTTGTCGTTGTGGCCTGAGGGGATGGTCCTCTCTCTGTTTCCGACTTCAGTACACTGGGAGGCGTCGTCTCGAGAGCGATCGAACTGTCTTCTGGTACCGCAGTTCCTGTTTCCTCAGACGCATCGATCTCGTGGCGTGAAGTAGACATAGCTATTGCCATAGCCCTACGATACGCTTTCGAGTTGACGACCTCATCATCGAAAGTAAACTCCGTAGCTTTCGCAATGGACTCTACATCGGCCTCGCTGTCGTTCAGACTCTTCTGATCAAACAGCGACTCCGGTACCTTCAGTCTCGGGTGCGACTGCCGTAGAGTCCTCGACCGCTTTACAACCTGATCGAGTGTCACACTGTTATCCTCAACCAGCTTCTTGATATCCGCAATTGACTCCATCTGCAATCCTTGTATCAGCAAACTGAGCGCTGACTGCTGGCCACGGATCTGGGTGAGCAGCTCTTTGAAGGTCTCTTCCTTGAACACAAACTTCGCTTTGTCTTTGAACTTCAGGTTGTCGTTCTCCGCCTTCACTCTCAAGTCCCGTACCTCCTCTTCTAGGCACCCGTATACAACTCGACACCCCGTAAGCGCACGATCGAAGGTCTCGAGCAGCTGGGGCTTCTCCCGTAGCGCGTCATGTTGTAGGAGGCTTTGGACTTGGGACAATGACGCTGCAATGACCATGGACTCGGAGTATATCGCGGTAATGAGAACCGAGGCATCTTTGTACTTGAGGCGCAAGTCGTAAAGTTCTTTTGCAGACTGGATGCTCTGGGGCAGAGCGACGAGCTATGGTGGTAGTAGGTGCATTAGCTTGGTACCATAAACCTGGGAAGTTTCCCGGAGCCTGTTGACGCGCTTAGAAATGGCAGGAACATACAGCACCGATTATACCAGACATGTCCACGCGTGTCTAATGACACCAGGGTAAACAATCAACGCGCGCGAAAGAGAAGACGCAGCATTCCAAGCGATCGCAAATGGTGGGGGTCGAACGAAGCGTGCTTCAGCTCAGAGCTCAGCTTAGGCATCCATGTTCGCGCCTGCCCAGATTACGGGGGCCCTCTGTGCACAGATCCCCCGCGGCCAGGACATCAATACGTCACGGCTACATTCCAGTGTCTACTAGGTACCTAGGTAGGCATTGGACTCAGGTCATGCGTTCAGGCAGAGCGCACATGATCACGCCGCCAGATTTTAGAGAAAGTCGGATTACTGACTTGCTGGCTCTTGCGTGTCTCCCGCTGAGCCCGATCATCCCAATAGTATAATACAAGGCAGCGGAGTCAACATAACACACGGCGCCAGCGAATGCCTGTCTACCAAAGGCGCGTTGAGAAGTAACGAAAAATTACCATCCCACCATCAGAATACCCATCAATCATGCTTTCCCTTTCCCATTTCGATCAAAATCCAGGGGTATGTCCAGCTAAAAATGCCAATAGTTCATGCGAAACGGAGGCTCAGAAATGCGAGGAGAAGTCGTAGTTGGTGGCTCTGCAGGATACTACCTTGCAAATACCTTCACTATGCCGTCGCCACCTGCTGAGACGACAAGGCGACCGTCCTGACTCCAAACTACGCTGCACACACCTTCGCCACGCATGATACGATGCGCGGTGATCTCCTGTGTGCAGATGCGCTTGTCAAGGGACCAAAAACGAATGGAAGCGTCGTGGCCAGCGGAGACGGCTTCCCGGCCGTCTTTGCTGAGCGACAACGAAGAAATAGCTGCAGGGTGTGCAAGCATACTGTATGTACATTGTCCTGTTCTTGATTAGCGAGGATGTATTTCTTGATATTGCAAAACGTACCTGAGTTGGCATCAAAGAACCGGATGAGATGGTCTTCGTGCCCACTGATTACAACCCCTTCGAGACCGCCATTGGCAGATCCCGTCGGGCCGTGTATACCTTCCTCGTCAGGACCACCGCGACCCGCCTCTTGTGACGAGCCTTCAAGGTATTGGGAACTTGTCACGACTGATGTAATACCAGTCGCTGGAGTGCCGTCATATGACTCATTGCTAGCCATACCAATCAATTCCTCACCGGTCCTCGTGTCGTACACCAATATAGATGCGTCGGAGAATGAGACAACAAAGTTCTCTCCAGTGGGTGACAGCGGGCTGATACAAGTAGGTGAAGGATGCGTGTCGCGCTCGATAGTATGTATCAACGTGTGATGGAATGGTGTCGTAGTAGCAATGCTGGGCTGCGGTGAGGATGGGTGATGCGAGCCAGATGTGACGGAATGTCTTCGGCTACCACCAACACCACGTCGAGATCCCGTCTGCGGTGAGACCAGCTGAGGCGGTGCACTTACAGCCCAGATTTTGATAGTGCCGTCAGCAGACCCGGAAGCAAGTATGACGCGGTCCGGTCCTCCATACTTGCTACTATCCGCGCCAAAGAGATTAGCACAGTTGGTCGGAAGAACGCACACAGTCCAGACAGCATCTGTGTGCCCTTCCAGGGTGGCCTTGGGATCGACTCGGCCTCGTTCCCATACGCGGATCGTAGCGTCTTGACCACCAGAGAATATCCAGCCATCGCCAGAGACTCTTCCGCCCGTAGCGAAATGAGCAGAAGCGGGGCAGGCTGCCAATGATGTCACAGTGCCTTCATGTCCTCGATGTGACCAGAACGGCTGGATGTCGAGATCATTGTTCATGCTGTGCTGGTTTGCGTAACTTGCGGGAATCATCCATCTCTTGATCATGCCATCGTCTCCTGCGGTACAGATCTCGGGTTCACTGGGACTGCCACCCCCGGTGAAAATAACTGACCGCACGACATCAAGGTGACCACGGAGTGCGAATCGAACTTTGAAACTTTGCGGGTCGTTCTTTGCTGCTGACTGAGCTACGGCTTGCTGTGCTTTCTGGTCGTTGCTCAATCGCCTAACATGGTCTTTGCTGGCCCTCTTGACTGGTCGTGGTGGTGATTTTGCTGGGATGCTATCCGCTGATGGAAACTCCTCGGTGTCTGGCCGCCTTGGTGGGCCATCCTGAGCTGTCTCCGATGCCGGGTCGAAGATCCAATCATCTGTATCCTTGTCTTGGTTGGCAGCCTGGCTTGCATCCGACGCGTCATCTCCACGTATCGGTATTTGACGGCCTTCGTTGTCGAAAGCATGAGTGACCTTTTCAACCTGCTCTTCGGGCACGGAGGAAAAGTGCTGCTGGTTCTGGACCTGGCGTTGATGTCCAGCGAGAAGCTCTTGAGCCATGGCAGCGTTGGACGGAAGTGGTTGTTGCTGTGAAGGCTCTCGTGCCATCTGCGGTGCGTGGTGGATTTGGTGCTGGTTGGCCAAGCTCTGTAATTCGGACGGGACTGGTACGTTGGGAGGCTGGTGGGTAGGCATCGATGTGCCTGGCATGGTTGGAAGCTGCGACTGCAGCCTCTGGCGATGTTGCTGGAGGTAGATATCTTCCATCGAGGCCTCGCCATGGTTCATGTAGCCGTTGCCGTTTGCGAGGGGCTGCATGTTCTGCTGTTGTTGCGGGGCTTGCGGGGGTGGTGTAAGGAGGTACGTGATCTCTTCGACGCATTTCGTGAGGTAGAGCTTCGACTTCTCTCGTAGATTCTCGCGGTCGGCCTCTGCACGGTCGAGGAACTCTGAGTCAACGTCGAGGAAGGAGTTGTGTTTCTTGTTTTGAGCTTCACCGAGTTAGTAAGCGTCCGAAGTGTAAACTGGCAGCAAAGTATACGCACGCTTCGTCGAGTTCCTGCCACTCTTCTTGCCCTTGGGGTCATCCTTGTCGTCTGTTATGGCCTCGGCGTCACCTCCTGCTGCCTCGCTCTTCTTCTTCCTCTCGTTAGTGAGGGCCTGTTCCAGCATGCGAATGTGCTTGTTCAGCTGGTCGTTGAGCTTCTTCGCACTCCGCACCTCGCCCTCCTGTTTTGCAATCTTGGCCTTCATCTCGGCGCGCTCAATGTCCCAGGCATTCCGTGCACGCTCGTGGTTGTGCCATTCCAGCTGTAGAAATCGCATCACACCTGTGAGGGGGTCAGCCTGCCAGTCTCCCCGCCAGCTCTACGGCATGTCCAGGGGAAGCGCATACCCTGCAATGTGTACTCTGTGCCGGCGGGCGCATTGCCGTCACCCCCTCCGTTGGCACCGCCGCCGTTCATGGCCGAGGGCGACTGCCAGGCCATGACAGAGGTATGCTAGAGCGTCGTCGCGGCGATCGTTGGTGCGTAGAGAGCGTCCAGTGCGGGTTGGCATGCGGCGTCGGGGGTCGGCAACAGCGCGGTCGACGTGTCGGAATCTGGCTCCAGAGCTCGGACCCTGGGGCACCGGACAGTGGCAGAGACGCGGATAGTGATTGAGGCAGTAAAAAGACGGGCAGTGGGGATTATGCGCACGCGCAGTAGCTGGTCTCGTCACGGCTGCGGCAGCATCTACACATGTTGTCGCACAGGGGAGGGAGCCATGCAGACGTAGCGCTAGGGCGGGACCTTGACGCACGGGCCATCACGACTGGATGCGGGAGCAGTGAGCGCCGGTTCATCACTTTGCTACTCCAACCACTTTTGCGGTGCACACTTGAAACTGTCTTACGCTTACCCATACTGACAACAGTATGTTGGGATAGGACTCAGACTCACAGCCTTTGCGCGGAGGTGGGCTGGAATTTCATATCGCTTCCAACCTTGGAAGCCATACGTACAAGCGATGAGCTCATGTTCTTATCAAACTCACCATCAGTACTGACGAGCAGCCACTGGGTAGTGATCTGGCCTATGATACCTTCACTGTAAGTAATTCCTCCGTCTTGTCTTCTCAACCGTCATCTTTTCCGTCTTCACTCTTGCTACGTCACTGCCTCCCTATCCTGTCGGCAACAGCACTTGCTGCCAGTCGACCGAGCCAGTGTCGCCTGATAGATTATCCTTTTCAAACATTCAAGCGAATCGTGTACACTCTGGTTAGGCCATTGGATGGTCATCTCAGAGCCGTAATCGATCACTGCCGCCCCGCATGGCGCCGTGCTTCCGGATCACACTTCGGATTCTGCGACATTTTACTGATATTTATCACAGATTTAATATCTCTCAAGCATTCTCCACATCCTGTATCATCGTACATACTGTCACTTCCAGATCTTGTGGTCGAAAAGCCGCCGCTTTGCCTGAGCGCACGACCGTGACTAGGCGGCCAAGAGCGGTAATATGTTCAATTTTCATCATGTCTCACTTTTAGGTTCAAGAATCAGTCACTCGGACATCATACTCGGCACCTATTCCTCGGCACCCTCGTTGGGTGGCAACGACAAAGCTACGTCTGGTGCACCCGCCCCCACCACCTTACCGTCCAGCATTCCATGAGGCATCGAAAATGCGACAAAAACATTAGATCATAGTAACTGGTAACTCACAGTATTACAGACGATCTTCATGCATGCCGTCGCACGGTCGGGGACTGGACTGGTGCCTTACCTTGTACATGCCAAGTGGAGCCTTCCCGATTGGTACAAGAACGTAACCTTGTCACAACAGTAGAACCTCTTCCCAGCAAGACCTGACCACATTCACCCCACCTCTCGCCAAACACCACCACCTCGAATCCGCTTCGAACCCCCGGCATCACGGTCGCGCATCTTTATTGATCCCATCGACACCGACATTTAGCCCAAATAAATCACCCGAGATGGCTGGCGGTGGTAAAGGTACGCGCTGACTTTGCGTCGCGCTCCGAAAGGCCTCGAGAGCTAACAGGATGCGCAGGAAAGACAGGTGGCAAGACAGGAGGAAAGGGCGATGCGCAAGTCAAGACTCCCAAGTCGCACTCCGCCAAAGCCGGCCTTCAAGTGAGTAGCTGCCCAATACGCGTCATCACCATTGCACCCCGCGCAATGCTTCGCGTGCAGCACAAAGAAACCACGCGCTAACGTGCCGTCTTCACCACAGTTCCCTTGCGGTCGCATAAAGCGCCATCTCCGAAACCTCACGCGACAGAAGACGCGCATCGGCGCCAAAGCCAGCATCTACCTGACCGCCGTTCTCGAATACCTGACCGCCGAAGTTCTCGAACTCGCAGGCAACGCTGCCAAGGACTTGAAGGTCAAGCGCATCACGCCACGCCATCTCCAGCTCGCCATCAGAGGTGACGAGGAACTCGACACACTCATCCGTGCTACCATTGCCTTCGGAGGTGTTTTGCCGCACATCAACCGCGCATTGCTACTCAAGGTGGAGCAAAAGAAGAAGGGCGGTGCCGCAAAGGCTGGCGAGGTATAGGTGGCTGGTTCTCTGGGCAGTACGCGCACGCGCCATCATCGTGGCAAGACGGACCATTTCGCAAGCCAACTATGGCCTAACAAGCGGTCAAACGTCTGTCACATGTATGGATAAGCACGCTCTTTGTTTGGCTTTACTACACATTCTGCCGTCCTCTTGACGGGGGCAGCTCATCTTTCTGCTGAAGTACAGGATGTTAGGATACGGTGTTAACTCTCTTTAGTCAGGCGCGAGAGGATCGGTGTTGAGGTCATGGATTTCATTTGTCCTTTGCGGTATGTAGCAACACTCAATTGATGCCAGTGAGCGACAAGAAAAGCCCATCGCATTCTCCGATCGAACGGTACACGATTTGCACCCAAGACGCGTTCGCGCATATCGCATAGCTACGTCCTCTGGTTCAACAGAAGCGAAAGCGCAGTGCTCAAACGCGCATAGCACGTGTGCATGTGTGTTGAATTAATGCTCAGACACGCGCTGTGGTGTTTGCGGATTCGGCTTGCGCGACAATCACGAGTATCTCGATTCCGAGTTTGGTCACACAAATGTATACTCCCGTCTCTCAAACCACACATGACGCGAAGGGAAGCTGTATGCTTTGCAAGGCAACTACAGGGTACCAATGTCAGCATAACATTTCTCCCATTAAAACATTCAATCTTTCTTCATCTCCAAACTATCACTATCTATCATTCACCATCCCTCCACAACTACCCATCGCCAACATGTTTGGATCTCCCTTCAGCCGCGACTACTCTCGCCGCACGCCCATGCCCTCTGCATACGTCTACCCAAGCTATTCAGCCCCAAACCAAACTACTTACCACCCTCAACATGCATACGACGCGCCTCGCCAGCACCGCCATACGCCGCGTCAACATCCCCAACCACAGTACCGCTCCCCTCAGCCCCGACAAGGCCGTTTTTCCAGACGCCCCTCACACTACTCCGACATCTCTCCCAGCCCCTCCGAACATGACTCCCGAGACGAAATACGCCCATACTACATGATGCCATCCGGCGACCCCCACGCAAACATTCCACCTGGGTATCGCAGCCGGAGAAACCAAGGCCAACCTCCTCCTTCCCCCTCCCCACCACCCCCCTCAACAAACACAACCTCATTATTCCGCCCTTGCCATGCCAAAGTCACGCCCAGGGCTGCGCAGAAATTGGGTAAAGATGAGATACTCATCTTACCGCCCTTGCTTACGCGTCTGCGTGTGCAGATGAGAAGTAGGGATGGGACTGAGACCTTGCGTGTGAATGTAGCAGGAGATATGCCGTTTCGCGATGTTGTTGAGCAGCTTTTGTCGGAGTCGGCATTGAATGCGGGTGTTAAGGCGTATGTCAAGATGAGGGGCGCGTGGCTGGAACCCGGGTGCGCTCTTGTTAGTCATATTATGGAGCAAGGAAGGTTTGTGCTGAATGAGAGGGGAGAGGTGGATGTTAAGATTGAGATTGGGGGTGGAGGAAGAGTACGAGATGTGTAAGAACAAGACTTTGTTTCCGGTTAAAATGATCTTGGATGTAAAAAGAACAACACGCAATGATTAAGGACAAGTCGAAATTATGAAAGGTAGTTGAACAAAATGCTAGTACATCCATTCGCTCCACATACTCCACCACCCAAGTCGGACCGCAGGATCCGCACTGCTTCGATCCGTAAACGCCAAACATCGTTCTAAGATTCTGAATAGTATGGGTAAGATGCTCCAAGGCATGAGAGGTACAAAAAGTTGACCTTGAGAAAGAGAACCTCCCTAGGGACCCAAAGACGAAGTGAAAAAAGGGACATTCGTTCGTATACAATACAATGCGACAATGCCATGAGAAACACAGGAACGAGAGTCATTTGCCTTCATGCCCGTTGTTGTCGTTGAAAAATTTGGCCTGCGACTATACTCCTATGACTTCAGGCTGTCCTGCATGCTGCGGCTGCTAGCGCTGAGCGGGATGTTGGTTGTAGGAAGGACGGTCTTGGGCTTGCTGTTTTGGCGGACCTTGGCGAGGGCGTAGACGAGACCACTGACGAAACCGACGAAGATGGCGGAGCAGCTGCCGAAGGTGACGGGCGCGTCGAAGAATACGAGACCGCTGAGCGCGATGGGCAGCTTGTTCAGAGCACCGACCATGGAGTAGGTTGTCGAAGAGGTGACACGGACGGCCCAGGCGGATGTGTAGGAGATGAAAACGGTGGAAAGCCCGGAGATGATCATGACCATGATGACGGTGTTGCGCTGTTCGACGGGGAAGTTCTTTGCGACGTTGGCGGAGGACCAGTCTTCGACGAGGATGGAGGCGACGAGCAGGATCGGGATGGTGAGGAGGTTGTTGTAGTACATGGCTGGTTGAAATTAGCAATTGCTCCATTTGGTTTCGGTTGGATAAACTTACTGTCAAAGTCCTTGAAGTTGGTAAGCTTGATGCGCTTGCGCATGCACAGAACATAAGTTGCCGAGCAAAAGCAGTTGAACATCATCCAGAGGTATCCGGCGTGCAGAGTCGACATGGCCTCAGTGGTCTTCTCTGCAGCGTGACCCATGCTCGACAAAGCGTGTTGGATGTCTGCCCAGGCCGCAATGACGGAACTGAGGACCATCAGTCCGAAGGAGAAGAGCGCCATTGGTGTAACAGCACCACCGAACCAGAGCACCTCTCCGTATGCGATCAGGATGATGGTCAAGTTCTTGAAGATGGTGTAGACGGGAATCGAAAGGTACTTGAGCGCCCAGGTACTGGTGTAGATCATGCCGATGAGGAGGACGGAGATGGGGAACCCTGGCGATGTTAGCATTTTTCCGTATGGTCGATGGTAGATTGGACCTACACTTCTTTGCCTCGTCGCTGTTGAAGTCGCGGTAGTTGATGATACCAAGGGCTTTACATATCGAAATGGCTGCTACACAGACGACAGACTGTGATGCGTTAGAATGGCGGTCTGCTGCTCGGGGGAATCGTCATACCTGTACGCAGAGTAGGAAAAAGTTGAGGTTGAAGTCGACGCCAGAAAGGACGTATTTGTTCGTTACGGTCATCATAATAGAAGATCCACAGTATGCCAGAACCGCAGCAATTGGGTTCTCTGTGATGGCTACACCTCCCGCGCGGCTTGAGCCCGCTGATCGAGTAGGGGGCGACGCCGCGCGGAACTCCTTGCCGGAGGGCATATCGACCCTGTAGTCGTCGCTCTTCTTGTCGTCGGACATGGTGGTGGAGAGGGGGTCTATACGCTCGCGTGTGGAGGGTTGTGGTTTGCGGCAGCGACGGGAATGTCCGGGGAGAGGACAGGTGTGTGGCGGCGGGTGTGCGACGTGGAAGGAGGGGCGGTCGAGTGAAGAAGAAAAGACAGGAGTGTGGGACCAGAAGGAAGGAGACGGGCGTCGCAAGAGAGATGCGCAGGGACGCGAAGTGGGTGGGTCTCAGCGCTGCCTCTCCCCTGGCCTGGAGTTGCTCTGCTGTTGGTAGTGGTAATTTCACACGCCGCTAGTCCGCCTTTGAATACGAGCAACTTCCTGTCAGCACCACCCTGCCGCCTTTACGAGCTGTGTTCTATTTTTCACTGCTAGCCCTCACTGCAGCGCGTAGCGTAAGCTCTAGACGGTCAGGCCAATTCACGCACGCTACCGAGCAGCGTATGTAAACGCGCGTTGTTCGTTCCGGCAGCCTATCGCCACGTGACTTTCCTTATCGAGTCCTGTACTCTTTCCCCTGATCCTTCGACAAGCGACCCCAGACAAAACCAGAAAAATGTCCGCCTTAGATCCCAAAGTCGCCTCCCTCGTTGATCGTGCTGCGCGCGACGACGATTCAGACGAGGATGCGCTTATTGCGTCTCTGGAAGACGACGAGGAATTAGATGCTTTCCGCGAGCAACGGCTCCAGCAATTACATCACGAGTATGACAAGGCACGGCGGCTGAAAGAGAACGAGCATGGCAGATACACGGAGATTAAGGATGAGAAGGCGCTGATGGATATCACCACAAGCACGCAATTGTGTGTTGTTCACTTTTTCAAGCCTGACTTCAACCGGTGTCGTATCATGGACACACATCTCGAGGTAAGAACGAACACTGCTACAAAAGATATTGTTTAACAACGATTCAGTCACTTGCATTATCTCACTACGAGGCCCGCTTCCTCAAGATCAACGTGGAAAACTGCCCTTTCCTAGTCACGCGCTTAGGAGTCCAAGTTCTGCCCTGCGTCATTGCCTTCATCGATGGTATCGGAGCTGACCGCATCATTGGATTTGAGGGACTCGGCCACACTGAGCAAAGCTTCACCACTCGCGATCTGGAGGCGCGTTTGATTCGTGCAAACGTTCTTGCGAGAAACAAGGTCAACGAAGAGGATGAGAGGCGGAGATTGCAGAACGCCAGGGCTCAGCAGCAAGAAGACGAGGATCTGGACTGGGACTGATAATCTCCACATGTCAGCTCGGCTGAAGTGTAAGCGACGCCGAATGCCTGGAAGAGGCATTGAGCTGAGACGACGGGGAGGCGCGTGGAAGCACGAAGATTGTAGGTATGCTCGCAAAACTGTAATGATCTGGCAATGCAGCAGGCGGATCGTCAATTGCTTGGAATGCTCAACATACAAACAAACTACTTGGAAGAGAAGGATTGCGTCCAAACGAACTGCGCATGTCCAGCTAGCACGAGAATCAAAACGCTGCGAGACATTATTCGCTCGCTCAATCAATCAGACCGATAGCGCAACGAGCATCTGTTCGCTTTCTGATACGATGTGTTATTGATCTGTTGCGAAAAGGCGTGCTGTACTATGCCTCTCTTCTCTTTCCCACAAGAGCCGCAGCAATTTTGAAAGATGAGTCTACATGTACAAACAGCACTACGAGTACGAATTCATCGCCAGCAGCTAGCTCTCCAGTCTCCATGTTTTGGGCGGTTGTGGTGAATGTCGCGCTCAGGCGGTTGACTAGCTTACCCCCGCTGGGTAATCCCGATGACGCCATTCGCCACGTGCTTTTGGGCATCTCAAATAATTTCCTCCATACCCAACGGCAAAGTCAACCTCCACAACACGTCGCTGTGATACCTTGCTCGTGAAACCTACAACGAAAAGATACTATATACTGCAAAATGAAGGCATACTGGTTCGACAACCTCCCAGTAAGTGTTTGCTTCACAGTCTCCACATCCACATGACCTAACCTCCACAGGGCGACCAACGCCAACCCCATGACTCCGGCCGCACAGTCGACCCAGACTACCTAGAAAAGCTCGGTGTCATCTACCACAGCGTACCAGAAGTCTCTGGCGTGGAACCCATTGCTACATCGCGCAACTACAAGAACCGGGATGAGATCATCGTCAGCCCAGAGAAGATGGGCGACATCTACGAAGAAAAGGTCAAGTCATTCTTCTCCGAGCACCTACACGAAGATGAGGAGATCCGGTACATCCTTGATGGCGCGGGCTACTTCGATGTGAGGAGCGAGGGCGATGACTGGGTGCGGATTTGGCTGGAGAAGGGTGATTTGATCATTTTGCCGCCGGGGATTTACCATCGGTTCACTACTGATGAGCAGAACGTAAGTGAATGAGAAAATTGGGAAAACTTGGGAAAACTTGGGAGTCAAGAGTGCTAACATGTCTTGCTAGTACATCAAGGCTATGCGACTGTTCAAGGAAGACCCGAAGTGGACGCCGCTGAACAGGGGAAAGGAGACGGATGAGAACCAGTACCGGAAGCAGTACCTGACAGAGTACTTGAAGGCTAAGCAGGGAGTTGCAGCTTAGAGTTCAGCTGCTTGCGAACCTAATATCCATCCTCCAGTATTGACAACATAATATCTAGACATTCTTTTCTAGCCTGTTTGGCCACGCCCTGGTGAGCGCTTATCTTTACCTCAAGTCTATTGAGCTCCCATAGTCTCACTCTCACCTCGATTTCGTTCAGCTACGCCATCGTAAGCCCCGGTAGTCTCTCACCTCGTTTCTTTTCAGCTACGCTATCGTGAGCATTTAAATTGCTCTCAAGTCTATTGAGCCCCGCTAGTCCCTCTCTCGTCTCGATTCTGCCTCTATGTCTCTGTCCAATCATCGCGACAGCTTTCCGATCGACGACAATAGCATTGTTTCACCAACTGCTACCGATTGCTACAGCGATGCGCGACCACCAGAAGTGAAGGTGAAACCCAGTCACGTCCGTCAATACAGCTTGACTCCACAATGGTATTGTCTCAATGCGCCGGGCCCCCTGCTCGTGTGCACAGGTTCACTTGCACGCCTCTTCACCTTCTTATTGTTGTACGCTCCGCAGCTCCAGTCGTTCTTATCCGCGCCATGTACACCACCTAGCTTAGCCTGTACATCATCCAGCTTTCCAACACCGTCCAACGCAACTGTCTGGCACATCACAAAATACATACCCGCAACAACACACGTCGTTTCGCCAAGATGCCAAAAACATCTAATGGTCAGCACCTGTACATCACAGGCATGAGGAATCTTCAAGAGCTAGCGTACGAATCGGAGTCCGAGGATGAAGAATCTATCGTCCGGGAGACCCGTTCCAACACCTCGTTTGGAGAGATCATGGCCCAGGCTAGGACCCCTCGCGATGTGGTCACGGAAGACAGGAAGAGGTCAAACACAGCAAAAGAGAAGGAATCAGAACGATCAGATTCACGAGCAGACACTCCAAGGTCACGGGTGCAGGCCAGTATGCCTGATTTGATCGGGCTGAGTCGTGCTCAGAAGGCCCCACGAGAGAACGACCAGTACCACCCGGAGGACCCCCTCCTCAAGCGCCATCCATTCGCAGGCAAGGATACCAACCATCTGCAATCCAAACGGGACCAGTACTCTTCAGTGCCATTGTGTCAACACTTGGAGTTATTTCTAGACTGGAACATGGACGACCCCGACAACCGAAAAGGCTCATGGATTCTGAACATCGAAAGATACGAGGAGCCCTCACCTTGGGCAGAGCATCAACATTGCGCTGGCGTAGATGTTACCAAGATGGCTGATGCCTTGGCGATGAGGATAATCAAGAAATTCACTCGACTAGACAATGAGCGGGTGAGCCGAGACTTCGACCGCGGAATATCGTGCCGACGACCTCCGGCGAAGCAACGCTTGACACGAGAGCTATGTAACATGTACTCTCAGATCCACCGTGGCAAGGAGAGCAAGCTTGTTGATGGGAAAGAAGCGCTTCGCGAGAGCCTCATTGCGGCCGAGCGGCGCAAAGAGCTGGCTGGGGAATCGCTGCTGCGAACTCAGAAGTCAGGCCAAAGCGGCGCCGCCGCAAAGCCTTTCAACAACGATGTACCAGAAGCTCGCAACAAGTCATCTTCAGCTTCAGTTCCAGGCTCATCTCCCTCTACAAAGAAGCGTAAGACACCGAAGCAGATTGCAGAAGAGAAGGTAGCTCGGAACAGGAAGCGCAAGGGTTTGAGCGAGATTGCCAGGATTCGCGCTGAGCCTATCGACCGTTTCAAACCGACTACGGTAGATGAACGAGACGCCCGATTGACTGGTGTTGCTCAGCAGGTTCGACATGGGCGCGCACAGCTCGCAGCTCAGAAGCGGAAGTTGAGTGAAACGGAGGATGATACACCGTCTCATGTCTTGCCTTCTTCACGACTGATTAAGAAGGCAAAGAAGAACAGCGTTACGAAAGAAGTTGTATAGGCTAAGAAAGGAGAAGACGATAGGCTGGATGATCTGTCTGAGGAGTAAGAAAGTACAGGCTGCTGGATATCGGGGGTTTATTCGAACTTGAGGCTACAAGTAGAATGGGATAGTTCGCGACGAACCATCGTGTCGCTTTCAGGGTATCATGCCATTGTACGCCGTAGCTATCTGAGAGTCATATGAGGCAGCAGTTGACTTATCCAGACGCTTTCGTATTCATCTAGCCCGTCTATACCATTTCCTTCTTCAGGACGTGACATCAACATCTGCGTGTTTGGCTCAAGTAGAGCCTTGCTAGTGTCGCTATGTTGCCAATGACGTTTCCTCAGCGTCTTGTGTAAGAACAATGACATAATAGGTCAACGAGATCGCAGTTTGACTCGAGGAGCTTTGCATTTCGGGTGCAGAAATGACACGATAGGCTTAAACATCTCCTGGTTTCATTGATCACATCCACACACAGTGTCACCGCCCGCCTACACCTTGTCCTATATCAAATAAGCTTAAACACACGAAGCTCGCTCTGTTGGTCCTCGATATCATCCCAGCCAAGATGCATATATCTGCAATCATCATAGCCGAATCCCACTCTCTTGAACGTACCCTCGACCTTGAGAGTGACACCATCAACTTCCCAAGTAATCGGCCGTCCCTCATCTTCTGGGCCAGCTACCCTTTCCAGAAACAAGCCCTGGCAACGAAGCATTGGATTGTCGCCGAAGAGCTGCGGGATGCCTACTATAGGCGCGAAATGTGTGACGCGGGACAACACGGTTGTGTCCGTCGGGTCGTCTGGTATCATGTCGATGACTGCGGGGCCGATGGCATCAGAGGATGCATAGCGTTCGGGGATGAGGAAAGGGTTATACGAACCCAACCCCATCTCATCCTCGTGACCCGAAAAAGGTAACCGAACCGGGAGGCAAAAACCAAGGAGCGTCAACTCACACTTGCCCGCTCCGAATACCTCTGTCTCAGAGCTATCAGGCTCCTTGTGCTCCCAGTTCACGACTCGTGTGTACGTTACAGTTTCCGGATCAAAGATAAACTCATAGTACATGATATTTCCAATAGTCGTCGTCCAGGACCAAGATGGCGCCATCTTCCTCAGTGTAGCAACTGCCTCTGAGTCGCCAGGCTGCTTCCGATGGGGACGAAGCCACAACAGCCACTTTTCTAGCTGCAATTTCCAGAGCCCGAAGAGGTAATCTTCCTCCGGGAACTTGTCAGGCATGGCTTGCTGCAACGCTCCCACTACGCCTTGTATTGCGGCTAAGCGATCAGTCCATTTGGTCAGTCTTTTTTCCGAGTACCGCTTTACAATCTCGGCCCATAGTTTCGAATGGTTGAAATGAGGTTGGTCGGTCGCGCGGGAGTCTTCTACACGGAGTAGTTGACCAAGAGTACGCACGTTGAAGAAATGGTCGTCTTCGCCGATATATCGAACGGCGTTTTCATTTGCCTCCTTCCGACACTCGCATCTCTCGTGCTGGCTACACTGCCAGGCTAGTTCAGATGATGTAGCATATAGTATTCTGCGCGCTAGGAAGCTCTCTTGGAACACCCATGCGCGGGTAGCGAGGGGCGTGAGAAGTTCGTCGATGTCGACATCTTCTATATTGGGGCGCGACGAATGATGTGCTGGGTTGCTCCAGTATTGTTCCTCTCGCTCGCGAATGGAGAGTTGAACTGTACGAGACGTGCCGTCTGGCATGTGAAAGGGTACCTCAATACGTTTGAGGGGTGCATTCGCGGCAGGGCTGAGGGACAGAAATCCTTCCTGGACGCTGGATGCACTCTGTGCCGAGATGACCAGCTCGGCTCCTGGGTAGATGGACTTCATGCGTGGAATTTGGTCCGTCCAGTCTTGTATATCATCTTGTACTATGCATAGCGCATCAATCTGTTGTCTGAGGTCAGCTTCTGGGATAGATACAGTTCATGTATTGGTTGCTTTACCCATAGGTATCGCAAGCCAAAAGCTTTGCACACGTGGATGGCATCGGCGAGGGTGCGAGGGAGTGTCGAGATATTGATGCCTTGCATATGGGTCTCGAGATTACTTTTCAGCGTCTTGAGGGAGCCGGTCGTACCCCATGCGTAACTGAGACAAGCATAACCTTCCTGCTGTTGTGCTGAGGCTGATGCAATCGATGCGCTATCCACAAGGCGAATAGGATTAGTTGCGAGATCGAGGACACGACGTGGCCATTCACCCTTGTCTGGTGCACACAGCGAATGATCAGCCTTGCATTGCTCGAACCAGCTGCGCGCTTGACTCAAACGATCTTCGAGATTGCTTAATAGCTCTCGGTACTTGTCGTTTTCACTATTGCGTATACCGAGCCATGGAATAGCAGAGTCTTCTCCAGCATCTGTTAGGCTGTTAGCATCATTTTCAAACACTCCCTCATTCCTCATTCCTTTAAAGGTGACTCAGGCTGATAGAAAGAAGCCTGACTAGCTGTAAAGAACTTACCAACCGGAGTGTAGATCTGGTAATCATTCGGCCTGTTATCAACATACTTCCGGCCAAACAGCACCCCACCGCCATATGATTCACCCTCCTGCTTGCAGGCCACATTTAAGACATTCTGGGGGTCAAAAAGGTGCCAATGGTCAACCGCCTCTTTGCGCCTAATATCGATAGTCGTAAATTCCGGCCGTCGAATATCGGTGACGGCATCAAGAGCCTGCAAGATGATTGAACATCCCTGACATTCGCCAGCAGAAACGAGGAAGTCTGCCGTTGGCGTGCTGGTTTCCACGCCGTTGGCGAAATGGTGGCATATGATGCATGATGGGGTTTCCTGGTCTCCTCCGTTTGTGGGAGGCTGTTTTGTGTCGTTTGTGTCGGATTCGACGCGGTATTGCTCATCAGGAGAAGCTTGGAGATGATCCGAGATCATACCCGCACGCGCCGGCGATGATGCAGCCCGAGATTCCTCTACCCCTCGGGCAAAAGCGTCTGCCATGCGCTCTACGAGCTCAGACCAGTCTGACGTCATCGTCACTTACCCAAGATGCTAACGAATCGAGTCGCTTGCGATAGCACCTTATCGATGCAGTAGTACCGACCTGTTTTACAGAACTCG